AGTTAGCCACCTAATAAAAGGTGTTTAAGTGAGTAATAAACACCACTGCCTACTCTGTACAGGATCACTCCCTGAAACCCCAGAACAAAACATAGAACTGTATATTTTATTTTATATTTAATTTCTAGGTTCAAGAATGGTCATAAATGATAAGTGTACATATCTAAATAACACTGGATTTTCCATTTCTAACGGGCACAGAACATGAGGGCTTTGTGGTTTATAATTCCCATCTTCATGAGTATGTTTGGCCATCGCATAGATTTCTATTGCCTTAGCCACTTACAGAATTCAAAATAAGCTTTATCAGACATTCTAAGAAGAGCGGCTATGGAAAAGTGTCTCTGATAGAAACGGGATACAGATGAGGTTGACGTGAAGAATGTTCCTACAAAAGTAGCCTAAAAAGACAAATAGAGCAAATGAATTTGTTAACTTTCTCCTTCTCCTCCTCCTCTGCTCTTCGGCCAGTTCTCCTTTGCTGAACATTTTGAATATTTAATACTATATGAAATTTTTCCAATCAATGTCATATCTATTCTGGAGAAAATTTTACAAAAGTCATGTCACTAAGATTTAAAATAATGGAGTGTTATTTGGGACATTTGTATTGTTTGGTATTATTTTAAACCTCAAAAGATGTTTTTCCTTCTCTATGGACTTTTTTATGTTTAAAGATCATAATAACAACTGAGAATGCATTTCCCACTTCTCAAATTCCAATTCCTTTACCTAGGAAGAGAAAAATCACATTTCACTAGAGCAGAGCGTTAGCCACGTTGATGCACGTCATAATTAAATGGACAGCATTTTTTTGAACATTGATGAGATGAAATGTGATTAAAATAATATTCTCTAAGAATTCAAACATGTAGGGAAAGGATCATCTCAGTATGTTAATAAAAAGAAAAGCATTGGTTTGTGATTTACCCTTCTAGTTTTTGTATTAGTCTAAATCTTCAAATCCATAGCTTATAAATAATCTCTTCCTCAAAACAGAGCATTCTAGCTGAATTCATACTCTCTTAAGAATTTATCCTCACACCACTGGACCTGGGATGATTGGGGAAATGGCAACAATTTAAAATGTTAGAACTGAGTGAGACGTGACAGACCATCACAAATAAACCCTAATTTCATTGGCAGGAGAATAAAGGCCCTGGAGAAGAAAGAGCAGAAAGCTCTTTCCCACGCCATGCATGTTGCTGATATAAGGACCAAACTATGCTACTCCACTCTGCCAAGTTGTTTAGAATTCTGGCATAGGCATTTTTTTTCAATTACTATGTGCTTAAAACAGATCCTCATCTAACTCACCACACATCTGGCTTTACAAAAAGTATGTGCTTTGTATATAAATCTAATGACCTATAAGCCGACACTCTGTTCTCACTTTATTATGGATCTTATATTACCTCTTGTAAATGTGCAGGGCAGGAAAACATGGTATGTACTATAAAGCATGTAAAACTTTTTTTTTTTTAATTTATTGTTGGGGATTCATTGAGGGTACAAGAAACCAGGTTTCACTGATTGCATTTGTTAGGTAAAGTCCCTCTTACAATGGTGTCTTGCCCCCAAAAGGTGCGGCGCACACTGAGACCCCACCCCACTCCCTCCTTCCCTCTCTTTGCTATTCCCTTCCCCACCCCTCCCTCCTTCTTCCTCTCTCTGCTTTCCTCTTCCCCTACCCCACCGTGTCATCAATTGTCATTAATTGTCCTTATATCAAAATTGAGTACATAGGGAAAAAAGTCCTTTTATTATAAGGACACTTGCACTAGACTGTTTATTGCAGCTCAATTTACAATCACCAAAATGTGGAAACAGCCTAAATGACCATCAACCCAGGAATGGATTAACAAGCTGTGGTATGTGTACACCATGGAATACTATTCAGCCATTTAAAAAGGAGACTTATAGCCTTTTTATTAACCTGGATGGAAGTAGAACACATTATTCTTAGTAAAGCACCATAGAATGGAAAAGCATGAATCCTATGTACACATGTAAAACTTTTAAAACAAAGGTATTGCTGGTGGAAATAATCTAAAATGTTTCAGCTAACATTAACAAAAAAGAATATCAAATTTTGGAATTTGACATCTGTCTACACCTATCTGTCGGTTTTCTAAGGCTAAGGAAGTTTTTATTC